TGCCTCCAGGGTTCATGTGATTCTCCTGCCTCAGCCTCCCGAGTAGCTGAGATTACAGGCCAGTGCCTCCATGCCCAGCTAATTTTTGTATTTTGGCATTTTTAGTAGAGATGAGGTTTTACCATGTTGGCCAGGCTTGTCTTGAACTCCTGTCCAGGAGTGATCTACTTGCCTCAGCCTCCCAAAATGTTGGGATTACAGGTGTGAGCCACTGCGCCTTGCCCCAAACTGATATTTTAAAAAACTGATATTTTAAAACACTAAGGAGGCTGAGCACAGTGGCTCACACCTGTAATCCCAGCACTTTGAGAAGTCAAGGGGGGCAGATCACTTGAGGCCAGGACTTTGAGACCAGCCTGGTCAACATGGTGAAACCCCGTCTCTACTAAAACTACAAAAAATTAGCTGGGCATGGTGGCACGTGCCTGTAATCCCAGCGACTCAGGAGGCTGAGGCAGGAGAATTGCCTGAACCCAGGAGGCGGAGGTTGCGGTGAGCCGAGATCACGCCATTGCACTCCAGCCTGGGTAACAAGAGCAAAACTCCATCTCAAAAAAAAAAATAATAATAATAATAATAATAATAGGGCCAGTTGTGGTGGCTCACACCTGTAATCCCAGCACTTTGGGAGGTCAAGGGGGGTGGATGGATCACCTGAGGTCAGGAGTTTGAGACCAGCTTGGCTAACATGGCAAAACCCGGTCTTTACTAAAAAAAAAACATATACAAAAAGCCAGGCATGGTGGTGCACACCTGTAATCCCAGCTACTCAGGAGGCTGAGGCAGGAGAATCGCTTAAACCCAGGAGGCGGAGGTTGCAGCGAGCCAAGATCATGCCACTGCACTCCAGCCTGGACAACAAGAGCAAAACTCCGTCTCAAATAACAATAATAATAACATTAAAAAATAAAAAACAAAACACTGAGGTCAAAGAAAACCCACATGGCAGCATGTCTGGCTTCTGAGCCTCCAGTATGCAAGGCCTGTGCTGAAGGGCTCTGCACTTGCCCTTCTCCTTTTTTCAGGCAAGGTCACCAGTGGAAACCCCCAAGGACAATACCTGTGTCTCTTTCAAGGACCATCCCTCTTGCCTAACACAGTCCCTGGCAGGGAGCAGATACTCAGTGTGCGTTTTTGCACTAGGCTCCAAAATAAAGGTTTTCTGATCACTCTTCAACTCAACAAACTTGGCACCCTAGTGCCTGTGAAATATTGGGGCAAACACTTTATCCTTATTTGAAGCCCCGTCTTTTCTGTCCGACATCCCAAGATTCAGAGTACTCTACCCTATGGGGCCTCCCTGGCTCAGCCTAAGAGGTTGAGGAATACGTGGTAATCGATTTACCAGTGGCAGTGCTTGCCCTTCACTCGGCCTCTCCTGTTCTAAAGAGTCCATAGATCAGTTAATCCACAAATACTTATTAATTAAATACATGGCGGCCTGACATTGGAATGTTCAAAGCCTTCTGCTTAAGAGTTTGTGTGTGTTGGGGGGAGGGGAGCGTGTCGACACAAGGTCTCTGCTCTGGGAGAAGTGCTGGGGAGTGGAAGAAATCCATAGGCTGAGTGGAATAATAATTTCAATGATCAAACACCACTACCACTCTTCCCCCAACCCCAAGTACCACTACTTCGGACAGGGAGGGCAATGCCTCCAATGGAGACTTCCCTAATTCTTGCAGATCATACGCTGGCCCCCAACTTCGCACTGGCCAGAATCCCGGTTCTAGTCTTGTCTGTGCCACCAACCCCTGGGCCCTCTTTATAAAGAGAAAGAAAACGCCTTTGGCCTCTGCCCAGAGCTACAGATACCTGGAGTAGGAGCAGGCAGGAGATGAGTGGTCGATAAAGACCAGAGAGACTTGGGATCGAATTCCACTCTCACCCTGTTTAGTTTTCTTCAGCTTGCTGCTCCAAACAGGCAGAATGTGAAAATTAAGATGCCTTCCCCACTAGCACCCCCAGTTCAGTTTTCTCCAGCTTGCTGCTCCAAACAGGCAGAAGTGAAAATTTTCCCCCCCCTACAAAATAGGGCCGACGAGGATGGGATTCGAACCCACGCGTGCAAAGCACAATGGATTAGCAGTCCATCGCCTTAACCACTCGGCCACCTCGTCCTACGTGGAACAGCTCTTTCCACATTCCCTTATCTCTCATCTCCTCCGCACCTTCCGGGCACTATCACCCACCTGGCAACGCTAACCTCCTCGGACCCGGGGAGAGGAGAAGCCGCGGGAAGAAAGGAGCGTTTTGATTTCCTTTCAGCCGGGAGCCCGAGCCACCCTTCACCATGCTGCAGCCGAGCTCTGCTGCGGGTTCCTCAGAGTCCGGCCGAGCGCGCCGGGCGTTCAGGGCGCGCTCGGTCCGGGGTGCGCGCGCCGGCGGGGAAGGAGGAGCGCGCGTCCCGGGAAGCCAGAGGGGCCCGGGCGGGCGGGGCGTCTGCACAGCGCGCGGCCGGGCGGCGAGGCCGTGGCTCCTCCTCCCTCGCAGGGGGCGAGCTGGCGCGTCCGGGGCTAGGGGCGGCGGCAGGCGGCGGGCGGGGCGGCGCGCGGGGCTCGGCTGGCCTCGGCTCGTCTCGGCTGCGCTCGGCAGGCTGCGGTAAATCCGGGCTTGAGGCGGTTGGCGTAGTCTGTGGCCGGTGGTCTTTGCTGCGCGCCCCGAGCCCCGAGAGCCATGCAGATGTCCTACGCCATCCGGTGCGCCTTCTACCAGCTGCTGCTGGCCGCGCTCATGCTGGTGGCGATGCTGCAGCTGCTCTACCTGTCGCTGCTGTCCGGACTACATGGGCAGGAGGAGCAAGACCAATATTTTGAGTTCTTTCCCCCGTCCCCACGGTCCGTGGACCAGGTCAAGGCGCAGCTCCGCACCGCGCTGGCCTCCGGAGGCGTCCTGGACGCCAGCGGCGATTACCGCGTCTACAGGGGTCTGCTGAAGACGACCATGGACCCCAACGATGTGATCCTGGCCACTCACGCCAGCGTGGACAACCTGCTGCACCTGTCGGGTCTGCTGGAGCGCTGGGAGGGCCCGCTGTCCGTGTCGGTGTTCGCGGCCACCAAGGAGGAGGCGCAGCTGGCCACGGTGCTGGCCTACGCGCTAAGCAGCCACTGCCCCGACATGCGCGCCAGGGTTGCCATGCACCTCGTGTGCCCCTCGCGTTACGAGGCAGCTGTGCCCGACCCCCGGGAGCCGGGGGAGTTTGCCCTGCTGCGGTCCTGCCAGGAGGTCTTTGACAAGCTAGCCAGGGTGGCACAGCCTGGGATTAATTATGCCCTAGGCACCAATGTCTCTTACCCTAATAATCTGCTGAGGAATCTGGCTCGTGAGGGGGCCAACTATGCCCTGGTGATCGATGTGGACATGGTGCCCAGCGAGGGACTGTGGAGAGGCCTGCGGGAAATGCTGGATCAGAGCAACCAGTGGGGAGGCACCGCGCTGGTGGTGCCTGCCTTCGAGATCCGACGAGCCCGCCGCATGCCCATGAACAAAAACGAGCTGGTGCAGCTCTACCAGGTGGGCGAGGTTCGGCCCTTCTATTATGGGCTGTGCACCCCCTGCCAGGCACCCACCAACTATTCCCGTTGGGTCAACCTGCCAGAAGAGAGCTTGCTGCGGCCTTCCTACGTGGTGCCTTGGCAGGACCCTTGGGAGCCATTCTACGTGGCAGGAGGCAAGGTGCCCACCTTCGACGAGCGCTTTCGGCAGTACGGCTTCAACCGAATCAGCCAGGTGCTCATAAGGGAGAGGGCAGGGGTTGGGGCAGGAGGGGTGGTGGGATCAGGGAGTTACAAGAAGTGGCCCTGGATGGAAAGGAGGCAATGAAGCAGGAGGGATCATATTTAGGAGTTGGGTGGATGGTATGGAAGATCCAGGATGCTTCCAGAGGGGTGAGGACGCTGGACTATGGCTTGAGGGAAGTCAGTCTCAGCCCTGTAAATGTCATCAAATTTTGCTGACCTGTCTTTCCCCCTACAGGCCTGTGAGCTGCACATGGCGGGGTTTGATTTTGAGGTCCTGAACGAAGGTTTCTTGGTTCATAAGGGCTTCAAAGAAGCGTTGAAGTTCCATCCCCAAAAGGAGGCTGAAAATCAGCACAATAAGATCCTTTATCGCCAGTTCAAACAGGAGTTGAAGACCAAGTACCCCAACTCTCCCCGACGCTGCTGAGCCCTTCCCTCCCCTAGTCTGAGAAGTCAGCCTCTTGGCTCCTCAGGCCACCTTTAGGCCTGACTGGGGTAAGAAATGTGACTCCACTTTACAGAGGTAGCTGTGGTGTTGAAACACTGGACTTGAATATGGGGTGCTGGGATCGAGTCCTAGCTTTACCACTAACTAGCTGTGTGGCCTTGAGTAAATCCTGTTACCTCTCTGGGCCTCAGTTACCCTGTCTGTAAAAAGGGAGGTGAGAATACCTACCTCACAGAACTGTTGGGAGGCTCAGATGAGACGCTATATGTGAAAACATTCTGTAAGCTTCGTACAAATGTGAAGTATTAATATTATCGCAGTATTATTGTTGTTATTGTTATTGTTATTAACAATCTTGGGTGGGCAGGAGAGCAAGAAGTATGAATGGGATGGAGCTAAGAAGTCTGAGTACTTAATGAAATGGACTTTTTGGAAAGAAATCAGATGAAGGCATAAAATTTAGTTCTTAGCTCTTGGGCAGAAGCCTAAAATTCCTGGATCTCTCAGGCCTTCGGCCTCAGGAGTTCTGAAGGAGGGAAGGGTCTACAGGCTCCATGGGTGACAGCCTCAGATCTGTCCCTTCAACAGGCTGGGCTGAGTATGTGCCTACCGATGACAATGTGTAAATAAATGCGTGTTCACACCCACAGCTGGCTCCGTTACTCTCCTGAGCTGGGGGTGGAGGGGTCGGGGCCGGGTTCTCCCCTTGCACACGGTGGGGAGGTGGCCACGAACGAAGGACGCCGCCTGCAAGGCACTGAAACCTCAGGGCCTTCCCTGCAGGCCAAAGGCCTGCGTGAATGTCGGCCAGTTGCTATGGAGACCGGCCCGCGGTATCCCAGCATGCCTCGGGACCCAACTGTCCAATTGTGAACACCCCCGACGGTCGCCTCCTGATGAAGCACACGGAAGCACCGACAGGCTCTGCCTCCGGGAGAAGAGGGAGCCGCGCAGGTCTTACGGGAGGCCGGCGGCAGTGGCCGGTACCGGCAACCACGGGCACCTCTCAGGGAATCTCGGTCGTGAGGCCAAAGGCTCCAGCCCCCGCGGTGCGTATCGCCATGCATGGCTTTTGGTTCAGCCTCTCGGGTTAGTCCAGTGGGGCCGGCACAATCTCCTACTCCGAGGCCGAAGCAGCGATTTAACCGACCTGACGCGCGCTGGGCCGCGGGCCAGCCAGCAATGTTCCGGCCTTTTCCGGCTCATCTAGAAGGGAGCAGGAGGCTCCCTGGGCGCCGCGGAAAAGCTGGGTTGACCTGTGCGAGAGTGGGGAGGGTCTGCCTTCCCTGGAGGCCTGCCCCGGAGAAGCTGCCATTCTGAAAAGATAAATTGCCTGTATACAGCGCTTTACAATGTGCTTTTCCATCCCTTACCACCTGCGAGCTCTTCAACACTCAGAGCAGGAATAGTTACCTGTTTTTTGCACCCGGGGCAAGGAGGGAAAGTTGTGACTTAACTCACTTATAATCAGAACCAGCTGGAGGAGAGAAAGGCTTCTGGAAGAGATAGGACTTAAGCTGCGTCTTACAAAGTGAATATACTAACAGTGAAGAGGCATTGCAAATGTTGGGAACTGGTTTGGAGAACTGAGCTTTTCAGTTCATGTTGAGGTCATTAGTGAAATTGTTGAGGAATGTGACTGAACGCTCACCTAGGCCAGGCTTACGATGCATAGCTTGACAGGACAGTTTGCTACCATTACAGGGACCTGGGACTACCAAAAAGTAAAAGCTAATCTCTGCCTCACAATTTTGTTGTTGTTGTTGTTAACTTTGTATTTGCAAATCTTCCAGTCATCAAGTGAGCTAGTACTATGCTAGGTAAATAAGATGTGTGTGCAGCCCCTGCCCTAATGAGGCTCATAGACTGATTGGGGGGACAGACGTGAGAATGGGCAAACAGGAGATACAAACAAAGCTTCCTGGAGGGAGTACTGTTTGCAGTGTTCTAAAGGACTACAAAGCAGTGTCCAGAGAAGTTGGAAGAATATCACAGTGAAATAGAACCCTGCAGGGGGCTGAGAGATTATCTGCTGAGAAAACTGTTTATTCTTCCTCTTGGGTGATCTCTTGGCAGTACTTGGCACCATTAGTACAATTACTACTGGGAAGTACTTGGCTTCCTTCTGAAATTCTCTTTCTCCACGACTTCGGGTTTGCCTCCCCCTTTGTAGGAGTCTCCTCATCTGCCTCTTTGGTGACCCTGGGAGTTCCATTATGGATGTCTTCTGACCACACACATTCTGCCTTGCTAGTCGCACCTTCTCCTGTGGCATGAAGAACTTGCTGTAGGGTGATGACCAAATCTCTGCAGCTCAGATTTCTCACTGAGACTTAGACCCATGTACCCCCAGCTGCTTTCCTTCTCTTATTGTGGGTCTTTGCTACTGACTTGACCTACAATGTTCCCTCGCTCAATCAGCACAGCTCACCCAGCTGGTCCATCTTCATCTAGAAGCCCTCCCTGCTGCATCAGCCTTCAGGTCCTGGTTATATACCCCTCCCTTATGCCCTGGTCTTAACTCTCCTCGTACCAGAGTTATAGTTTGCTGCTTTGCCCCTCTCTCCCAAGAACTTGTAAACTCCTTGAGGTCAAAGACAATCACACTTGGGCCCCCTGCATACCGTAGTGCCTGACAGTACCTAGCATATCTTAGATGTTCAATACATGTTAGATGAGTCAGTAAAAGAATGCTTACCTGTGTTCAGTATTGCTGAGCAGACAATTGAAATAAGCACTGAAAAATATTGGCATTACCCATTGGGATGGGTAGGAAATCATTGGTTAATGGTACAGGATCAGTTTCAGCTGAGATCAGTGGGTACAGAAACACATCGAACAAGTGGGAGGTGAAACTAGGAACAGCCAGTGTGCATGAAACCTTGAAAAGTATAACTGAATTGGCAGACAGGGAGCAGTCAGGTGGAAGGCTAAGGTTTTGTGTTTCTGTGTTTTGTTAATGGTAGAAAATACTCAAGCACATTGAAAGTTTCATGGGAAGGATGTTGCTAAGAGGGAGAAGCTGAAGACACAAGAGAGAGGGGGGAGCACTGATGACCTGAGGTCATAGAGGAGGCAGAAGGAAATGGGATTTGACCCAGAGCACAGTGAAAGACAAGGGGATTGTAACGTTATCCAGAAGAGAAGCTGAGGGCATTATAGGCAGAAGAAACAGCTGAGGCAGAGGGCAGAAAATAGAAGGGCAAGCACTGGCCTTTAGATGGTGGGCTGAAGGAGCTGGACCGGGAGGGCAAGTCTACTCTGTGAAAGACCTTGAAAGCCCCAGTCAGTAATGTAGATCCAGTTCAGGTATGGTGGCACGCACCTGTAGTCCCAGCCTCTCAGGAGAGAATCGCTTGAACCCAGGAGGTGGAGGTTGCAGTGAGCCAGGATCGTGCCACTGCACTGTAGCCTGGTGACAGAGTGAGACTCGGTCTCAAAAAAAAAGAATGAAAATTGGCTGGGTGTGGTGGCTCATGCCTGTAATCCCAGCACTTTGGAAGCCTGAGGTGAGCGAATCACAAGATCAGGAGTTGGAAACCAGCCTGGCCAACATGGTGAGATCCCGTCTCTACTAAAAATGCAAAAAATTAACTGGGCATAGTGGCAGGCACCTGTAATCTCAGCTACTCGGGAGGCTGAGGCAGGAGAATCACTTGAATCTGGGAGGTGGAGGTTGCAGTGAGCTGAGATCGCGCCACTCACTCCGGCCTGGGCGACAGAGCGAGACTGTCTCAAAAAGAAAAAAGAAAAATTTAGGTCCAGTTCCATAGGCAATGGAGAGTGCCCGCTAGGAGCATTTCCAAGAGCAGGAGCATTTCCACAGCTCCCAGGCTTCTGTGAGAGGTGCAGATGGCCATTTGCACCCTTGTCACCCAGTATGTGCTCAAGGTGTGGCCAGGCCAGTCACTTCCTGGCTGTCCCCGTCTGGGGTCCGGTTGGGTTCAGCTCCCCACTGCCTCTTTCCCCCTCTGAACTGAGGGCAGCCGTGAGTGATGGCTTCATTACTTCTCCCAGAGTCCAGATGCCTGTCCAGCCTCCAAGCAAAGACACAGAAGAGATGGAAGCAGAGGGCGATTCTGCTGCTGAGATGAATGGGGAGGAGGAAGAGAGTGAGGAGGATCGGAGTGGCAGCCAGACAGAGTCAGAAGAGGAGAGCTCCGGTGAGCCCCTGCACACACACACACAGCCCCTACACACAAGCATGTATGTGTGTGCACACACAACCCCTACACACAAACACGCATGCACATGCACACACAGCCCCTACACATAAGCACGCATGCACACAGCCCCTACATGCAAGCACACATGGACACACAGCCTCTACACACAAGCACACATGCACACACAGCCCCTACACACAAGCACACACGACCCCTACACATAAGCATACATGCACACACAGCCCCTACATGCAAGCACACATGCACACACAGCCTCTACACACAAGCACACATGCACACACAACCCCTACACACAAGCACACATGCACACACACACAGCCCCTACACACAACACACACAGCCCCTACACACAAGCACACATGCACACAGCCTCTACACATAAGCACACACGCACACACAGCCCTTACACATAAGCACACATGCACACACAGCCCCTACACACAAGCATACACGCACACACAGCCCCTACACACAAGCACACATGCACGTGCACACACAGCCCCTACACACAAGCGCACGCGCACACACAGCCCCTACACACAGCACACATGCACATGCACACACCACCCCCACACAGGAGCACACACACATACACAGCCCCTACACACAAGCACACACGCACATGCACACACAGCCCTTACAAGCACGCATGCACACACACACAGCCTATACACACAAGCACACATGCACACAACCTCTACACACAAGTATACATGCACACACACAGCGTCTACACACAAGCATGCACACATATACACACAGCCTCTACACACAAGCACACATGCACACACAGCCCCTACACACAAGCACACATGCACACACAGCCCCTACACACAAACACGCAAGATCACACCAGCTTGCTCTATAACACACTTCGGGGGGAGCTGCAAGAGCAGAGCTGGAGGCTGGAGGAGGACCGCCAGAGCCTGGACACGCACGCGCGCGCGCACGCGCGCGCGCACGCGCGCACGCACACACACGCGCACACACGCACACACACACACCACCTATGCATACGCACACACAGCCCCTACACACACATGCATATGCACACACAACACCTACACACATGCACGCACATGCACACACACGTGGGTATCCGCCACTCCTCTCCAGAGCTAGCCCTTACTGGCCTCTTGTCCAGAGATGGATGATGAGGACTATGAGCGGCGCCGCAGTGAGTGTGTCAGTGAGATGCTGGACCTAGAGAAGCAGTTCTCGGAGCTAAAGGAGAAGTGAGTGTGGAGATACCTTGGGCTGGGTCTGCGAGGATCTGGGATGAGGAGGTGGTGGACCTGGAACTGGGCAGGCATGGCTGGTGCCCAGGGAGTGCATGCCTGACATGGGGCTTGCTGTGCAATAGTGCTGGGTATGTGTTTGCCCAAGAGTAATGGGTGAGCAAATGGGTGCACTGCTGCCTTCTCCCCACCCAGGCTGTTCAGGGAACGACTGAGTCAGCTGCGGTTGCGGCTGGAGGAAGTGGGGGCTGAGAGAGCCCCTGAATACACAGAGCCACTTGGGGGGCTGCAGCGGAGCCTCAAGATTCGCATTCAGGTGGCAGGTCTGTGGGTGGTTCTGTGCCCTATTCCCCTCCCAGAATCCATGGCACCCTGTCACCCTCCTTTCTCGTTCCTGCCCAGCCTTACCCTTTGCTCTCAGCCCTCCTTTGTGGGCACTGGGCTCCCCAGCCAAGCAGGGCCCCTCCTCCCACCCTCTGCAGGGATCTACAAGGGCTTCTGTCTGGATGTGATCAGGAATAAGTACGAGTGTGAGCTGCAGGGAGCCAAACAGCACCTGGAGGTGGGCCTGACGGCATACGGGGTGAGGCGGGCGCAAGGCCTGCAGTGGCCTCCCCCTGTTCCTCCTGCTGAGCTATTGCCCCTCTTCTAGAGTGAGAAGCTGCTGCTCTATGACACGCTGCAGGGGGAGCTGCAGGAGCGGATCCAGAGGCTGGAGGAGGACCGCCAGAGCCTGGACCTCAGCTCCGGTGAGCGCCAGAGACCGGCTCTGTCAATGCCCACCCCGCTCTGGACTTCAGCTTTCCTAACTGCACAAGGGGACAGTCAGACGACCTGCCTCTTGGGGTCAGTGTGAGGACTGAAGGAGACCAGGCCTGGAAAGGGCCTGGCACACAATGGGGGCTCAGGCAGAGTGGGTCCCCCTGCCCTCTTCTGCCCCTGCTCTCTTTCCAAAACAGGTATCAGTGTGACATGCAGTCCCATACAGTAGCTGTAGTCCCCTCCATGTTCACAGTACCAGTGTTCATGTGGAGTCCTAGGGTGGCAGAAATTGTCACTATCCCACTGTCCACTAAACAGATGAGGCTCAAGAAGTACAGCAGCCTCTTCCCAGGGTTGTGTAGTTGGGACCTGAACAGCCCTAAGGGGCTTCCTACCGCAAGCCCAGGGTGGTGATGGGGCAGGGGAGGTGAGGCCAGGCTGGCTCATGGTGGGGGCAGAGGCTTCAGAAGAGGGAGCGTCCTGTGGGCCAGCACTCCAATTTTGACTCTGGGTCTGGGGGCAGAGTGGTGGGACGACAAATTGCACGCCAGAGGCAGCTCCAGGTCTTGGGACTCCCTGCCGCCCAGCAAAAGGAAGAAGGCACCTCTTGTTTCTGGTATCCTTTCACCCAAGGTGGCCTAAAAGTGGGCAGGATCAGCTCCAGACCTGGGGTGTGGGGGTGTAGAGGACATGGAAGACAGTCACATAGACGCACTCCTGGTTGCTTGGTGTCATGTGACCATGTCCAGGCAAATCCAGTTGTCAGCAGTTTCTTACGGGGTCCTGGGTCTCCCTGGGCTGTGTGGACCCTAGGAAAACAGAAATCGCCTGAGCTCAGTGGTGCATACCTCTTGTCCCAGCGCTTTGGGAGGCCAAGGCAGGTAGATTGCTTGAGCCCAGGAGTTCATTTCAAGACCAGCTTGGGCAACATGGTGAAACCCATCTCTAGAAAAAAAACAAAAATAATCTAGGCATGGTGGTGCACACCTATAGTCCTGCTACTCTGAAGGCTGAGGGCAAGAGAATTGCATGAGCCTGGGAGGTTAAGGCTGCAGCGAGCCGTGATGGTGCCACTATACTTGAGCCTGCGTGAGGTTTGGTCTTTGAGAGCTTTCCGTCTCCCAGGGTTGTCCAAGTGGGTCCCCAGCTTTCTGTGGGCACCTTTGCGTATTTCCTACCCCCCTCTTGAAAGTCCTGCCTGCCCCTGACCAGGGCTCATCTCAAACATTACCTCCTCTGTGAGGCCTCTCCTGGTCTTCCCCCAGTGCCTGTGCCTTACTCTGGGGTGCCCACATTCCAGAGGGCACCAGCTGCCTCTGCCCCTCCCTAGGCAGGGTTAGCTTATGCTTAGTCCAGGGCCTGCTGTGCCTTCATCTGTCCTGGCAGAGTTGAGTCCTCTTGCACCCCTGAGGGCATTCCTGCAACAGCTAGTCTTAGTCATTACGGCCACTTGGTGCTGGAGAGCAGGCCCAGGCAGGGAGGGAGGAATCTTGGAAGGCCGTGGCTTGAGCGAATGGGAGGTGAAGGCATGGAGACAGCATGTAGGGAGCACTGGGGGAAGGGAGAAGTTGTCTCTGGAGGGACAAGCCCTGAATCTGTCTTTGGATGGGGGATGGGGCCAGGTGAGGGCCAGTGCTACAGGGTGAGATGGGATGGGCCTCGGCCAGCTGACCTCAAGACGAGGTGACACGTCAGGCAACACTTGGTGTCCTCCATGGATTTGGTTCCAGGAGGACCCCCAGAACCAGGGTCTAAGAGGTAGAAGGTGGAACCTGAGCTCGGACCCAGGTCCTCCACTCCCAGTTCATGCTGTCTGCTGCACCCCCACTCCCGAATGTCTGGTGGGTGACCCTGCCCCTGCCCTCATCACCTGCCGCCTCCACTGGGCTTCCTTGACCCCCACCACAGGCCCGTACATCGTGTACATGCTACAGGAGATCGACATCCTGGAGGACTGGACAGCTATCAAAAAGGTGGGGCTGCTGCCGCCCATGTCCCCTGACACACCTCAGGGCCCCCCAACCCTGGCAGCAGCTCTGCCATCTGCAGGCCTAGGAGTTCTCTGCTTACCAAGGCTCCCCCACCTTTAGCCCAGGGTCCCTGGATCGCAGTCGGCTCACAAGTCCTCTTGCTCGAGGAGGCCCTGGGATAAGGGACTTGTAGTCTGTGTCAGCCCCTTCCTGTTCCAGGGCAGGTTTTGTTGGAGTGGGAGGGTGGTGGGAAGGCAGGAGAGCAACTGAGCTGGCCAGCGGTCAAGTGTGTGGGAGCTCTGCCTGGGAGGGCCTATGCTCCCAGCCCTGGGGGCGCAGCACTGAGGCAGCAGCCGGCATGCCACAGAGGTGGGGGGTGGGGACAGGGATTGCCAGCCTGGAGGTGGGTTCTCAGGGGGTCTTTTCTTCTCACCCACCCAGGCTAGGGCAGCTGTGTCCCCTCAGAAGAGAAAATCGGATGGTAAGAACCATGGCTGTCCCTTCCCCCTCACCATCACTTTCCCTCAGCTCAGCCTCCAGGAGGGAGCACAGAGGGGCTGTGGCTGTCACAATCAGTGGCCCAAGACAGTTAAGATGATCTAGATTTGAGGGGTTTGCAGGAGTTTGAGGAGCAGGAACCAGGATGGGGTTGATGGAGCTCCCACTCAGGAGGGCTCAGTGAGGGCCGGGGAGCTGCTCAGGAGGCCTGTCCTGGGCCAGCCCAAAGCCACTCCCCTCAGTAAGTGGCTACTTGCCTCCTTTCAGCTTCCTCACTGGTGACAGTTTTCTCTTTCCTGCATATGCACAGGACCGTGACTCTGCTGTTCACAGCCAGGGGACCCTCAGAGCAGCTGGCACAGCACCCAGGATTCTCCTCTTCCTGCTGCAGACAGGTGGATCCACAGGCCCCTCAGGGTCCACCCAGCCAGGCTCCTGTGGTGCTGCAGGGCCCTCCCCTGCAACCGCCCCAGCTGGCACTGGAGTCCTCTGCCCTCCTTAAGGCCTGCACAGCTGTGGCCGTGGAGCTGACCTGGCCAGGCAAAGCTGTTTTCTCCATCCCTGAGCCTCCTCCCGCTCCTGAAGATCCACCTCTTGGGGCTCCCCTGACAGAAGACAGCTGAAGTCGAAGCCACATCCTCCTGCTGACCTTGGATGCAGGCAGGCTCCCTGGCCTCTGGGCCAGGAAGCCAGGCCCCACTGGCAGGAACTCTGAGTCAGACGTGGTATCTGGAGGGCTGTCCACCCTGGCTGGAGCTGGAGGCAAGAAGCCAGGCCCCCAGGTTTTCTCAGGGCAGTTCTTGGTGTCTGCCTCCCAGATTTCAAGGACTGGAATTAAAACCTTTCCTGGAACTCCGCGTGCCCCGTGTGTGTGTGATTTACCTTGCAAGAGAATCAAAGCTTCTGTGGGGAGCACGTGAACCAGGCTGACTTCTGGGGTGCCGGCAGATTACCACTCCTCGCACTACCCCGCAGTGGCTGGAGCACTGTGAATAGGGCCAGGCAGGGGAGGGGGAGGTGGGGAGGTGGGTGCTGGGCAGAGTCGGAAGCTGCTGGCAGAGTGCCTCGGGTGGGGAGGGTGGGTGCATGTGCTTGGAGCCTGGGTCATGTCTGCACCTGTCCCAGTTGCCTGGCAGATTGGCAAGGCAGGCTGGCAGAGCCTGTGTGCGTGGGAGGCAGCCAACAGCAGCACCATGTGCTGGCGACCTCACAGCCAGACTCCCCCTGGTTAGCTCTGAGTGTCAGAACCACCCCCAGAACCTCAGTTAAGCAAAGAGGTTGGTTTCCATGGAGATGCAGCATCTTTTTTCCATGGCAACCTGAAATCCCAAAACCCAGGCTCAGGAATGAGTCATCTATGGACAGTAGAGGGTGCTCTCCCACAAGGCTGACCTGAGGCTGGGGCAGATGAGCAACTGACCACAGACCCAGAGGTGCCCTAAGGGCGAAGGGCGTGGCTGGGGCCTGTGGGGACCCAGTCTGGCCTGCTTAACCACTTCCCACCCACCTGTGCAATTTTAAGGGGAGGCTGCAGGAGGCCCTGTGTTGAGGTGGCACCCCCCAGCTGGGGCCCTCAGAGTGGGGCTAGCTAGCACGGAGGGGATCCCTGACCACTGAGCAGGGTCCAGAACAGAAAAGGCAGGCACTGGCCAGGCGGGGTGGACACACAAGAGTTAACTGGCGGGTGTGACAGGCGGACCGCCCTCAGGAAGTGTTACTCACTGGGGATGTGCGCGCCTTGCCTTGGGGCTGGATTCTCTTCCTGAAGCTGAAGGAGCTCCCAGCCATGGAAAGCCCTGGAGAGCCAGACTGGGGCCTTCCTGGAGCCCCTAGCCCGTCCAGCTTCACTCCTGGACACCCGGAGAGAGAAAAGTTAGTGAAGTTGGCATGGCAGCCAGGTGGGGCAGGGAGGGGCTGTGAGAGGAGAGCCTATCCCGGGAGCAGGGAAGAGGTGAGTAAAGGTCCCAGCCCCTGGCCCCTGCTCAGATCTGGGTGCCTGCCCCCAGGCCAGCCCAGGATCCACTGTACGACGTACCCGATGCCAGCGGCAGGCAGGCAGGCGGGCCGCAGCGGCCGGGGCGCATTGTGAGCCTGCGGGAGCGCCTGCTGCTCACCCGGCCCGTGTGGCTACAGTTACAAGCCAATGCGGCGGCTGCTCTGCACGTGCTAAGGACAGAGCCCCCGGGGGTGAGTCTTGCCCGACATCCAGGGACTGGCCAGTCAGGGGTGGGAGGGAGAGGGGCCGGATGCCAAGGTCCTGAGCTGCCTGAGCCCCATCCACTTGCAGACATTCCTTGTGCGGAAATCGAACACCCGCCAGTGCCAGGCCCTGTGCATGCGGCTGCCCGAAGCCAGTGGCCCCTCCTTCGTCTCCAGCCACTACATCCTGGAGAGCCCTGGCGGTGAGGGCCTGGCCTGGCGGGAAGGGCTGGAAGCAGGGAGGTTCCCCAGAGAAGCACCTCACTTCCCTCCTCTCTCAGGCATCTCCTTGGAGGGCTCAGAGCTCATGTTCCCAGACCTAGTCCAGCTCATCTGTGCCTACTGCCACACCCGGTGAGTCTGCCCACAGGGTGCCTGGTGTCCACGGGCCCTGCTCCTTAGGACAGCCCATCCTCCCCACCCCCTTCGGCCCAAACATCCCTCACTCCTTTCTGCTCCCCTCTCTGGCCTCAGGGACATCCTTCTCCTCCCGCTCCAGCTCCCCACAGCCATCCAGCAGGCAGCCACCCACAAAGAGCTGGAGGCCATCTCCCATCTGGGCATTGGTAAGGGCTCCCTGCCACCCATTGCACAGATGGACAAGCTGAGTCTGAGGGGAAGGGAAGGCTCGCAGCACACAGCCCGAAGCATGTGCCTTTCCTTGCTTAGGAGCCCTCCCCTAACCAATCCCAGAGGCACCAGTTAGTTTCTTGTTCCCTAGAGTTCTGGAGCTCCTCCCTCAACATCAAGGCTCAGCGGGGCCCAGCTGGAGGCCCAGTGTTGCCCCAGCTGAAGGCCCGGTCCCCTCAAGAGCTGGACCAGGGCACCGGAGCTGCCTTGTGCTTCTTCAACCCCCTGTTCCCAGGGGACCTGGGGCCCACCAAGCGGGAGAAATTCAAGAGAAGCTTCAAAGTGCGTGTGTCCACAGAGACCTCCAGTCCCTTGTCTCCACCTGCCGTGCCGCCTCCCCCTGTCCCCATGCTGCCAGGGGCAGCCCCCAGCCAGGCAGAGCGGCTGCCCCCTTGCCAGCTGCTGCGGAGGGAGAGCTCAGTGGGGTATCGCGTGCCAGCAGGTGGCGGCCCTAGCCTTCCGCCCCTGCCCTCCCTCCAGGAGGTGGACTGCGGCTCCCCCAGCAGCTCTGAGGAGGAGGGGGCGCCAGGGTCCCAAGGGAGCCCAGCGACCTCACCCCACCTGGGCCGCCGGCGGCCTCTGCTTCGGTCCATGAGCGCCGCCTTCTGCTCCCTACTTGGGCCAGAGCGGCAGGTGGGCCGGGCTGCAGCGGCACTGATGCAGGACCGACACACAGCCGCGGGCCAGCTGGTGCAGGACCTACTGACCCAGGTGCGGGCCAGGCCCGAGCCCCAGGAGTTGCAGGGCATCCGCCAGGCGCTGAGCCGGGCCCGGGCCATGCTGAGCGCGGAGCTGGGCCCTGAGAAGCTGCTGCCGCCTAAGAGGCTGGGTGAGGCTCCATCTCTCCATAGCTCCAGCACTGCCCCATCCGACCCTCTGCTCCCCTCCAGTGCCAGCCTGTCTGATTCTGTTCTGCTGCTTTACAAACCCACCTTTTCTTACTACTGTTCGGGAGACTTCCATCCCCTCTCTCCCCCAACTCTCCCATCTCACCCAGTCTACCTCCTCCTGCTTTCCTTGCCCCTCCTCCCCAATTCTACCCCTGCTCCCTTCTCTCATGACCTCTGCCCCCACCTCCAGTCCTGCCCTGTTTCCCCTGACCCCTCCCTGCCCCTCCTCCGGCAGAGCATGTGCTGGAGAAGTCGCTGCATCGCTCTGTGCTCAAGCCTCTCCGGCCCATCCTGGCAGCCCGCCTGCGGCGCCGGCTTGCTGCAGATGGCTCCCTGGGCCGACTAGCTGAGGGCCTCCGCCTGGCCCGGGCACAGGGGCCCGGAGCCTTTGGGTCACACCTGAGCCTGCCCTCCCCAGTAGAGATGGAGCAGGTGCGCCAGAAGCTGCTGCAGCTGCTCCGCACATACTCACCCAGTGCCCAGGTCAAGCGGCTTCTGCAGGCCTGCAAGCTGCTCTACACAGCCCTGAGGACCCAGGATGGTATGTCCCTGCCACACCTCACCCTGCCCTGCCCCTCTGAGTCAGAGGCAGGCCCCCCAGCGGCAGGTCCCCAGGACCCTGGAACGGCACTGTGGGGGAGAATGAGCCCACCATCCTGTCTCACAAATGGTGAAACTGAGGCCCAGAGAGCAGCTTGTCCTCTCCGCAGCCCCTTTACGGTTGCTAGGCCGAGGGGAGGGTTTGCTGCCTAAAGCAAGGATTGCACCTGAAGCTCCTTCCTCTCACTGTGTTCCCACAGGGGAGGGCGCAGGTGCTGACGAGTTCCTGCCTCTGCTGAGCCTCGTCCTGGCCCACTGCGACCTTCCTGAGCTGCTGCTGGAGGCCGAGTACATGTCGGAGCTGCTGGAGCCCACTCTGCTCACCGGAGAGGGTGAGGGACCCCCGCCAACTTCCCTGTCCGGGTGGGCCCTGAATAAGCAGGGAAGGGGAGAGGGGATGGGGTGCCCCACACCCAGCCTGAGCTGTGTTCTTCCACACTGTGTCCCAGGTGGCTACTACCTGACCAGCCTCTCTGCCAGCCTGGCCCTGCTAAGTGGCCTGGGCCAGGCCCACACCCTCCCACTGAGCCCCGTGCAGGAGCTGCGGCGCTCCCTCAGCCTCTGGGAGCAACGCCGCCTGCCTGCTATCCACTGCTTCCAGGTAACAGGCCCTCCACCGTGTCCTCAGAGCCAGACACCATCCCCGCCCTTCACCTTCCTGTCCCGGGTGAAGAGTCCAGACTCTGTAGCCAGATCCTGGGTTTGAATCCTAGCTCTGCCACTGGGTTGTGGGAACTTGGGCAAGTTACTTAACTACTTTGTGCCTCAGTTTTCTCATCAGTAAAATGGGGTAATAGGACCTACCTCCTGGGGTTGATGTGAAGATTAAATGAGTGAATGCAGGAGAGCGCTTGGGGCACAGACTGTGTGCTATCAAAGCTTCGTCTCAGGCTCATGGGCTCCCTGCTGGGCTGTCCTTGCACCTACAGCTGTGGCCCACAAGCCCACCCCTGGAGCTCACAGAGCTTTTGCCACTTGGTTCTCCCAATGGATTTCTACCTCCCCACCTGTCCCCGCACAGCCCACACTGGCCCCTCAGCTTTGGGCCCAGATGCATGCCAGCCAGGACTGAGTACTTGCTTTCACTTCTCTTCCTGCATAGCACCTTCTCCGAGTAGCCTATCAGGACCCCAGCAGTGGCTGCACCTCCAAGACCCTGGCCGTGCCCCCAGAGGCCTCGATCGCCACCCTGAACCAGCTCTGTGCCACCAAATTCCGAGTGACCCAGCCCAACAATTTCGGCCTCTTCCTGTACAAGGAGCAGGGCTACCACCGCCTGCCCCCTGGAGCCCTGGCCCACAGGTTGCCCACCACAGGCTACCTCATCTACCGCCGAGCAGAGTGGCCTGAGACCCAGGGGCCTGCAACAGAGGAGGAGGGCAGTGGGCAGTCAGAGGCAGGGAGCAGAGGGGAGGACCAAGGGTGCCGGGGAGATGGGGATACTGGGGTCAAAGCCAGCCCCAGGGACACTCGTGAAGAGTCTGAGACAACTGCTGAAGGGGGCCAGGGTTGGGACAGGGGAGGGCCTGCTCGGCC